AACGAACATAATAAATAAAATTATAATAATTTTTAAATATAGTAACCATTATCTTAACTGCAAAAAAAACATACCTGAATCATTCATACTATCCATAATGGTCATTAAACGTTTTAACCTAGCCATGGACTCTTGTTCTGAACCTTTTGACATAAAATCTTGACTTAAGCCAGGAATCATCCCCTATTTAAAAATTATTTTGGTTTGAAGCCATTTAAATCGATAGTAATGCATTCATAAATGTAATTGTGCAAGATCACAAGCTAATAAAATTATTCTATTGCATGAACAAATAATTCATGCATATTTCAGTAATTCGTTTTTTGATGCTGTATGATCACTATGCAATAGATGTGTATACATATATTCATTTTTTATTTTTACTTTTATATAAGATTACTTTAAAAAAAGAAATCAAGATTTTGTGTGTGACATTAAATTCTTATTGCACATTATAATCATTCGTGCAAAATCACATGCAAAAATTAAATTCTATAAACTTAATGAACTTAATTTAATATTAAATATGAAAAAGAATGTGAGATAATTATTAATATTAATGTGAAACTAAAAACATACATAAATTTACTATGGGAACGATACTAACCATTAGTTGAGAAAATGGACCCATTTTCATGATATTTTGAAACTGTTCGTACATATCCCTCAATGTAAACTGACCATGCTTGATTTTTTCAAGTAATTCTTCATTATCATCAAGATTTAATTCATTTACTTTGTCTATGAGGCCTTCTATGTCACCCATGCCTAGCAGTTTACTGATGAAAGGTTTCGTTTTAAAAGGTTCTAAATCATCTATGTGTTCTCCTGTACCTACAAAAATCACTGGACTTTGTGTCGCAGCAACCCTAGAAAAACGTACAATAATGTGTGAAATTTTATGAAATCAAAATTTACTTAGAAGTTCTATAATGTGAAGTACTTCCATAAAAATACTATACTCAAACAAATTTAAAAATGAGTGAAACTTACGCTGAGAGAGCCCCTCCACCTTTTGCATGACCATCAAGTTTTGTAATGATTAGAGAACCAACATTTACACGTTCTTTAAAAGCTTTCGCTTGAGCTTCGCAAGCCTGCCCTATTGTCGCATCCATTACAAAGATGATATTGTCTGGTTGCTGAAAACAATTTTGCTTTCACTTCTCATAGAAAAAAGATATACAAACAATAATTAAGACACAAATTATTGAAAATGATTTAATTTAATAATAATTTAATATTATATACACACTAAAGAATAAATCTAAGTTAATACTTCAGGTATTATCTCATTCCAATCCGATACAAGAAAAGTCTGAATGATTGTTGAAAATAATGATGATTACTTGAATAATTAGGGGAATTTAAATCAAAATGAAATATAGTGTTTAAATTAATCTTGGAATAAA